CCTTGGTTGCAACAATGATCTATATGGTCCCAGATTATATCAATAACGTCACACAGGGTCACTGGGGTGTTGTGCCCAGCGTGTCATGGTGACAGGGTTGTCGCTGCCCTTGGCGTGTGTGTGCCGTGTACCGTGGTAGTTACGTTGTAGCTCCTGCCAGGGGCGGGGGTGAGACGCCGAGTATCCCCCTGCCGTGTCGGCTGGTGGGGGGATCCCGGGTGCACCCCACGTTGACCGCAGCCTTCTCGGCTCGCGCTCCCCTTCGGCCTTGGCCTTGCCCCACGACTTTGGCTGGTCCTGGGCTTTCTCTGGGGTCCCCCTGAGCCCCCAGCAGCCTGGCTCTGCCGTGGGCCCCTCGGGGCGTCCCCTCCTCTGGTCTCCAGGGCCCCGACCCCCAGAGGGAGCAAATCCCCTCCCTCCCCCCGATCTCCAGCCAGCAGGACTCGGCCAGCGTCAGTTGGGGGGTCATTGGACGTCTGACCCCCGCCCAGGCCTGGCCTGGCCTGGTCCCCAGGGGCTCCGGCCACGTCTTGTCCCCGCCAGCCCCCCCCTTCCAGCCCCAGGTAAACAGGCCACCTACCCGCCCCCCCCCGGCTGGAACCGGGCCCCTCAGCCCCTTTCCCCCACTGGCCAGAACCGGCTGCACCCGAGCTGGGGGGGCCTCCTGGGCACCAGTCGCTGGGTCCCCCGTCTGCAGGCCTCAGCGAGCGACCCGGCCCCACCCCGCCCCACTTCTTCCCGCTCCCTCCCCACCCCCATTCCAGCCCCTCCCTCAAGCCCCCGCCCCGCCTCTCTCCGGCTTCTGCCCCCTGGCCCGAGCGGCACCGGGAGCTAGCAGAGTGGGGCAGGCTGGGGCCGGGCCCCCCGCTAACCTCCCCGGCCGCCCTGGGCCCCACGGCCCCCCGAAGCACAGGGTCTGGGGCAGCTCTGCTTGGACCCGTTCTGGGCACCACCAAAACCGGTACAAACCTGGCCCCCCTGGGTGGGACCCACGTCGCCAAGCTGGCGTCAGGTGCTGGACGCACTGCCACGGCAAAGGGAAGAAGCCGGCTACCGCCGGGGTGTGGCAGGCGGCCGTGGTCTCGTGCCCCCCGATGACACTGGAGACCCACGCAACAGCCACCCGCCTACGGACGCCTGATGGAGCCTCCCCCAGGGCCGGTTGTTGGTCGACAGGGCCGGCTGTTGAGTTGTCCACCCAGCAATCGACGGTGGCTCTTCTTGGCTGGGGGTTGTCGACCCCCAGGGAGTGACGCCATGGAGCTGTGTGGTACCTCCCATGGGGTGGGGGGTCACAGGATTGTCACACCGTGTGTGTGTTACAGACACTCACACTGCTCGTCACACGGTGTTGGTTATGCTGGGGGGGGGTGAGTGTGAGAGACAATGTAGTTGTGTTGTCGCTCATATGTTTTACAGAGTAGTAATGTTGTAGCTGACACTGTATTTTACAAGGTATTTTGTAGTTCATGCTGTGTGTGTGTGTGTGTGTTAGTGTTAGTGGGGTAGTTGCGTTGTAGTTCATGGTGGGTGTTACAGGGTATTTGCATTGTAGTTCATGGTGGGTGGGTGGGTGGCTGTTACCGGATAGTTGCATTGTAGTTCATGGTGGGTGGGTGGGTGTTACGGGGTGGTTGCGTTGTAGTTCATGGTGGGTGTTACGGGGTAGTTGCATTGTAGGTTATGCCCTGTGTGTGTGCGCCCGTTATGGGGTAGTTGCAGGCTCTGTATCTGTGTGTGACGGGGTAGTTACAGTCACTTGCTCCTGTTGTGTGCTGGGAGGGGCGGGGGTGCATTGTACCCAGGAGGGAGAATGGGGGGGGCCCTGGGGCTTTGCCCCTCCCATGCACTGACACCCCCGTTTCCTCCCCCAGCCCCTGAACAAGTCGGACTGGAACGCCCCCGAGCTCAGCTACCGGGTGCAGTGGCGGCGTCTGGGCGAGGGGGGGAGCTGGAGCGAGGAGACAGTCAGTGGCCCCCCCTTGCTGGTAACGAAGACCCCCACCTTTGTCCCCTACGAGATCAAGGTGCAGGCCGTGAACCCCGTCGGCAAAGGGCCCGAGCCCCCCACCGTGGTGGGGTACTCTGGAGAGGATGGTGAGTGGGGGAGGAAGGGTGAAGGAGCAGGGGGCAGAGAGCCCCTGGGTGGGGTTGGGGAATGGGGGGGAGGAAATGGGAGAACTGTGACCCCCAGCTTAGGGGGGGCCGTGGTGGGAAGGGACTGGGGGGAAGCTCTGAGCCCCCCCCCACATTACACATGTGTTTGTTCCTCCCCCAGTGCCCCAGGTGAACCCCGAGAATGTGGGGGTGGAAATATTCAACAGCACCAGCGTCCTCGTCAGCTGGACCCTGCCCAACAGAGACCAGCTGCGGGGTCACCTCCGGGGGTTCAGGGTAATTGGGGGAGGGGCTGCGGGTCAGGAGTTGTGGGGCATGGGGTGCTCGGGGAGGCTGCAGGTCGGGAGGGGGGGCACGGGGCACTTGGGGGGTGCGGGTCGGGGGCGCTGCAGGTTGGGAGTGGGGGATGCTCGGGGGGGGCATGGGGCAGTCAGGGGCACAGGATGGGAGGCGGTAGGGGGGCTGCGGGTCAGGAGTGGGGGGCACGGGGCACTCAGGTGGAGTGGGTCAGGGGTGCTGGCGGGCTGCGGGTTGGGAGT